TTATCTTTTTTTTTTTGCTGCAAACACTCTTCCTAATTGTCATGATTTAAACAGTATTATTCAATGACCTTTGAAAAAATGTCCTAGTTGTGGGCTGAGAATTATGCCTATTTTTAAAACAATCCTTTCACTTTGTTTCACGAGTGACTAAGCCTGCAAGGCTACAAAACAGTTTTAGGCTTTGATGCACAGCCCTGAAGATGTAGACTATTTCACTAACCTTTAAAGTTATACCGTGAATAGTAAATTTTTCAAGTGCTGAAGATAAATAATTCACGGATTAAAGTTGGCTGTAGAAATATACTCTTTTAAAGAGATTTGCAGCTTTGTGAAAAGTTTTCTCTACAACTTTGAAGCCAGAATTTAAGGCAACTTTAGGTTTTCATTTAGAAGAAAATGATAAAATACTAACCAACCAAGGTCTGCTGCTGGAGATTTTTCATTTTTTACTAAACCTTTTCTTTTCAATAAAAGAGCTCTCCAACAACCTTCAATCAATCAATATGAACTGAGAAAAATAGATATGTACGGGAATATTTGATTTTATGTTCTTCAAGAGGGTTATGACCACATTGAAAAAAGATTGGATTTGAAACAATTTTCACTCAAGTGAATTTCACAAATAATTACAAGAAATGGCAGGAGTTTTATTTACAACTTCATTTTTTTTTGTATTTTACACGAAGCTGTGGCTACTGCTGTATTTCAATATTTCTGTGGCAATAACTGTACCTGTACCTCAGTGTCCAAAACCTACTGAGTTGCCAACATGGGAACTGCTTTCTAAGCGAACACCCTAATTGTCATGGAATCTCATTTGGATTGCTACAAATGGCATACAAATATACTCAAAAGACTTGACTTGCACTTGATTTCAATAGTTTGATGTTAGCATGTTGCTAAGCTAAGAGCACAATACTATTAAGCATTAAAAACAGTATTGCATGCTAACTTAAACTAAACTATAATTTTTTTTTAATTATTTATTTATTAAAATTTAGCTGGAAAAAAACTTGAACTCAAAAGAAATAAATTAATGGTGAAACTGTATTATTAAAGGGGTCATATGATGCTGCTAAAAAGAACATTATTTTGTGTATTTGGTGTAATGAAATGTGTTTATGCGGTTTAAGGTTAAAAAAACATATTATTTTCCACATACTGTACATTATTGTTTCTCCTCTATGCCCCGCCTTTCTGAAACACGTAGAAATCTCTAAGGATTGTAATGACTTATACTGTCTTTTTACGTGCTGCGTTGCATCGCACTGCGTAAACATAAAACCATGTCTGCATTTGTGATCGGAGAAATGACAAACAACAAGCGCTACTCTACACTGCTCAAAACTCGCGTTTGAATCGTCAGTGGCAAATTCTTTAAATATGAAAACGTACTTACAGTCTGTGAGTCAGAACAGCCGGCATTGTAGTCTACTCTACCAGGATCAGGAAACAGTCCTCCATAAAATGCACTGCACACATCTGAATATTTGGGTTGAACTGTTCTGGAACAATGTTATAAATACAACTTAACCACTGATTTCTAGTCGTGTCCTCTTTTGGAAGGCCAAACAAAGTATTTTCACTTTCGCAACGAAACACACAGTGTCTTCCCAACATGGTGGCGGCGGTGGCAGCAACAATAAAGTTACAAAAACGTATAAAATTATAAAAACTTAAATTCAACTGAAATTTAAAAGTATGAAAATAAAAGCTACTTTAAAATATTAATAGATAATACAACAGTATATAAATAATACTAAAAATAACACTATTGAAAAAAATCTTAAGTACACTAAATTTTAATATTTTTTCAGTACTAAATTAAATATATTTAGAACACTTTGTCTGCATTCTGGAATTGCCTTCTCTGTAATGGACACCTTTGATTCTACTCATAATTTGGCCTGCTTTTGGAACTTGTCTTAAAAGGCAGAACAATTAACAGCCCACTTATAATGCCTTAAAATACCCTACGTAGGCATCTCACTGGGTTTTGCTACAGAAATACTGAAATACTATACTCACACACTGGCAAAACTGATCACACTCACATCCATTCATCAGTCTGACTGGATGAAAGCTTGTTAAACTTCCGTTTAGCATTAGCTGCATTTGATTTATGCACCATCTCTATAGACCGAATAATGGAAAGCAAAACATGCTTTCATTCAAACATTTTATAGCTACCAGTGTCTGTCCTTGCAGTCCCTTAAACGTTTTGCTTTCCATTGCTTATGGTTCTTGAAGCATTTCTGACTCATTAAGCGTCTCAGTAACTTCTGCTCATTTGATTGATCTTCCACAGTCATGGAAGTGCCCCAGACTACATTGTTCATCTCCAATAGCACTTATAAACCAAGTACTGTTTTAATCCAGTTATTATTTCCTATTTTCTGAGAGGCTTGTGCAAGTGTTCTGTATTTCATCTGGTATGAAGGGGGGCACAAAGAGCAAACAAGTGTAGACAGTACTCAACATCAATATATGTCCATCCAGCTGATATCACAGCGTATTATGCCATGAAGAGGCTTTCAGACATCAGCAAATCATGAGTGGTGCCTCGCTAACATCACTAATACTGTTGGGCATACAAAATCTCTTTTAAAAGCAAATAATACAAATATTTTTTTAATTCAAATAGTTAAATAGGCTATATCTAAAACATATTATATTTTAATTGTCAGGTGGAAAAAAAGGTAAAGAGAGCATTTTAGAAACTAATGTGAAATGGTTTCATGGTCCAGCGATATATTTGGAGTTTCTGTGTAGGTGTATGAAAGGTTTTAACTACATTAAGTGTCCGATCCAATAAGTGTGTCTCTAAGCCTTTCCTTGATCAGAGGGATTCTCATGCGTGAAATGAAAGCTTTTATTTTTAGAGGTGGGCAGGGGAATAGAGACTTTCTGCTTTAGTAGGTAAAGAGAAGCCAATGTACTGTATGTTACATTCAAAATTTAGATCCATAGAATCTTTAGTTATGCTGAAGCCTTTTGAAATGTTCACTGCAGTGAAACAGATTTTGATGAATGCAGTGATATGTGGGAAAGCTGTAGAGTGTGTGATTTTATTCAATTTCACAGATTCAAACTCATGTCACCCACATGAGCACTAAGGCTCATCATGTTGGATTGCAATAACCAGCAAGCCACAGCACCAATTACAGAATGTACAGTTTGGTGCATTTCTGTCTTGACAACAATGATGTGGACAGTGAGATTAGATCATTTGTAACAGAAGCTATATTCCTTCTTTTGTCCCCAACTGTATTACTACACAAGAAAGAGAAGAGAGAGATGCAGCAAGAAAGATTGCTAATCCAAACATTACATGTACCAAGAAATTGAACTTTTTTACTGCTGAGAGCGTTCATAAGAAATTAACAACTGACTGTGAGTATCAAATACCAACCAATTTCTAATATGTAAATTAATCCAATGGAGCTTCCGAAATTACATACTCTTTGAGAAGGTACTTTTTAGTGAGGAACGAACTTTGCGACCAAAGGTATGTTCTGTATCAGAGGTTCTCAACTCTGGTCCTCAAGGTCCACTTTCCTGCTGAGTTTAGCCCCTACCTTGTTTAAACTCACCTACTTTCTAATAATCCGGAAGATCTTGAATAGCTTGTTGAGGTGTGTTTGATTAGGGTTGCAGCTAAACTTTGCCGGAAAGTTGACCTCAAAGGCCCAATACACACACACACACACACACACACACATATATATATATATATATATATATATATAGTATGAATGTGTGTAGTATGAATGAAATGGAGACATAAATGTTGAAATTGTCATTTCAATGCCATTCACGACTCGAGAATCTCTGCAGAAATACAGTAGTAGATCATCTAGGTACTTTTCGTTTACCTTTTTATGCAGTGAATTCAGACAAGCTACTGTTTTTCGCTCACTATGTAGTAGTGAAGTAGGCATATTCAGATGCAGGGCCAGTTTGACCAAGTTATCTATAGTTCCATTAAAGGGATAGTTCACCCAAAAATAAACATTCTGTCATTAATTACTCACCCTCATGTCGTTCCAAACCCGTGAGACCTTCGGTCATCTTCGGAACACAAATTAAGATATTTTTGATGGAATCTGAGAGCTGTCTGACCCTGCATAGATGTCATTAATTACTCACCCTCATGTCGTTCCAAAACAATAAGACCTTCATTCATCTTCAAAACACAAATTAAGATATTTTTGATGAAATTCGAGAGCTTTCTGACCCTGCATAGACAGCAACACCACGTTCAATGTCCAGAAAGGTAGTAAGGACATTGTTAAAATAGTCCATGTGAAGAATACTAGAAAACAAAAATAACTACTTTTTTTCAATGATTTCTTCTCTTCCGGGTCTCCGATGCACGTTCACGAGAGTACTACGACACGCAGGAGCCGCGTTCTGACATATAACCCGGATGCTTGTTTACAAGCAGAGGAATGCACACGCATGCTTCGTGGTACTGACGTGAATGCGGGTCGAAGTCTGAAGCGAAAGAGAAGAAATCGTTGAATAAAATCATGTATACACAAAGTAAAAATGGTTGTTTTAGGAACTGTTCACCGAATTGTTCTTTGTGGAACCAAAAATGGTTATTCTATGGCATCACTGCAAGAACTCTCTTTTGGTACCTTTTTAAGAGTGTTGTTCAAAAATCCTTTTGGGCAGAAAAATATCTACTTTTGTGGACTAAGTCACTTAATTAGTTGGATAATCTGACATGCCGGAGATTCAGCTGTGAATGCGACATCTTTTCCACTCAGGTTGTTGGTGAAATTCAGGTCAGTAGGGATTTCTCGGGTCTGGTGCTTTTGAGGTATTTTGAGCCATATCTGGCATATTGCGGGGTACTGCAGATGCAAGATCTTTGGGTTCAGTTGTTTTGAGGAATGCAGTTCTCTGCTAAAACACGTAATTTGAAGTTACCTCATTAACCACGTTATCCTCTGTTTCTGCAGATACCTTGGAATAACTCGGCCTTTGACCTATCCAGCGAGACAGAACGGACAGCTGATGGCCAAGATGATAGTCAGCGTCTGGTTGGTATCGGCATCCATCACTCTGCCACCATTCTGCGGCTGGGCTCAGAACATCAACACTGCGGGAGTGTGTCTGATCAGCCAAAATGTGGGCTACACCCTCTACTCCACCGCTGTGGCCTTCTACATCCCAATGGTGGTCATGCTTTTCATGTATTACAAGATTTTCAAAGCTGCCCGCAAAAGTGGGGCCAAACACCACTTCACCACCCTTCCCCCAATTCAGATGGCCTGTCCCGATGCAGCGTTGGCCACCGTAGAGGGGCTCTGCATGCATGGGATGAAGAACGGCACAGCTACTGAAGAGTTTTCCACCCTCTCCTGCCTCTTGAACCGCGAACGGCGGAGTGCCTCGATTTTCAGGCGCGAACAGAAGGCAGCCACCACCCTTGGGGTGATTATGGGAGTGTTTTCGTTCTGCTGGTTGCCATTTTTTCTCTTCACCACAGCGCGGCCGTTCATCTGTGGCCTGCTCTGCAATTGCGCCCCCGTCTGGCTGGAACGGGTACTGCTGTGGCTGGGCTACACCAACTCGCTCATGAACCCTTTCATCTACGCCTTCTTCAACCGAGACCTACGTTCAACTTATAAAGACCTGCTACGCTGCAGATATCGAAACATTAATCGCCGACTCTCAGCTATGGGAGTGCATGAGGCTCTAAAGCTCTGACTGCTCACAATCTGTTTATATGATGGGATGGTGCAAATATATATCTTCTTGACTCTTCTACAAGTTAAGCAGCACAGTTTGGAGAGAATTCACTGGGAATTACAATAATTCTGATTCACTAAAAACGTTCTAAGATTGTAAAGTTTCCAACGTAGGCTCAGTGGAAAATTGTCCCTCTACCCACTTGCAAAACTCCAAAAATTTTTCTATACATACAATTCACTGAAGAGAATATCAATAACTTTTATTCCTTTTCACAAAAATTATGATTATAGGGCAGATCATTGGTTAATAGAGACTTATTTTCACTAGGTTCCTTGCACAATACTATAATAAAACCTTGTAACAATTACATACTTGTATATATTTTGATGTTTGTCTCACAGAAGCAGCTTTATGTGCATGGCTGTTCTGGCATAGTAAACTTGCTTGGTAGCCCACCTGGTACACTGAGTGATGCACTTGCAATTGAGAGCACTTGGGTGTGAGTCCAGTGAAACTCAAATCATGATAAAAGAAGCGAGCTACTTTGGCACTAACCATGCCAGTTTTTATCTCACATTTGGTTTTGTTAACAAAATAGCTGGGGCGCTGCTAGACCCTTACCGTATAACAACCTGAGATTCCAAAAGGGTGCTGGATGAGGTGAAAATTTACCTACAATCCATTTTAGGAATGATTTTATGTGGCACAATATTTTCAAAAGTGATTTGAACATTAACATTTTTGTTCATTTTTGAACATTTCATCACTTTAAAAGCGTCACGAAACTGTTTCCAGAGTGTAAAATCACTTTGCAAAAATGTCACCTCAGGGAAATTTTTTCCCAATGAGCCTGGGTTGAAAGTTTCTTGAACCCACATTCAACTAATCTTTTTCTATTTTGTGCAATGTACTTTTCACTGTCCATTCTGTACATTTCCAGCTTTTATGCTACATAGCAAATTTGTCCAATCAACCTTCTGTGATGCTATCAGCAATGGTTTTCACGTGGAGGTCAAAGCATGATGCGAGTCACAGGGAGAGTAAAAGGGCCTTAATGCACAGCTAGATACATCTGTTGTGCTTGCGTAAAGCCTTGAATTTTACATGAGATGATAAAATCTTAATATGAGTGACAAGATATATGGCCTTTCATTTTAACAATACAGCTATGAATTCATTAAACAAATAAATAGGCCAAAAAAGTAAATGTAATAAAATAAAATAATAAAAGTAAATAATTAAAACAAGATGGCGAGGGTAGTAATTTCAGAGTTTCAGTGATTGCTACATCAGAAATTTGATGGCTTACTTCGGATACTATGTCAATCTGCATGAATGTGCATTGCTTTAACAACCCTTTAAAATTGTCATGACATTTTTCATTTGGAAATTAAATGAGTAGATATTAGGCCTGTTTCACACTGCCTTATTGTCCTTTGTTTTAGAACTACACGTTTACAATGTACAAATATGTTGTTGTCTTTGTTTTAGTGTGTTTGCTGTAATGTAATCTGAACTGTGAAAGACACTGATTGACAATGGGTTTCAAGAACTTTGTATAAAGTATATACATATATTGTGACAAGATGTGCTGAATATTCAGTTTAGAATTTGAACCTCATAGTCAACATATTGTCAGTGAGCTTGTGTCAGTATTCTGCTTGTACATGCTGTGCAATCAGTGTTTGTTTTGGAAGATGGTGTACAAATCTAGCTGTCTCAATACTCGTGTTTTCTTAATAAACATTACCTTAATAAATATTCAATTGCACATGTATTCCATTAGCATACTCTTAGAAGCCCAAGTGGCTTGTTTACCATATGGCATAGGTCTTGAATATAATTAGAACTAATTTGTTTACTTCACCGCTCAAGTCAGCATTTTAAATCTGACGAAAGGTGAAAACAGCTGAAATGCAAAATAAATAGCCTACTGATTTTATATAAAGTAATAAAAAAAATTTTTATATAAGAAATAAGTAGCAATACATACAGTATAAAATTTAAAAAAATACATAAACATATAAATGAATATACACATCAAATTTAAATTTAATTAAACATTAAATTGCAATAAATTCTTTAAACTTGAATGATTAACAGATTATTTACATGCTACTTCTTGTTTTTCAGTGTTGGTTACATAATGTGGCTGGTATTTAGTGGACTCGCACCAGGATGCAAAACAAGATTTCTTACGACAATGGCTTGTGTTTTGTACTATTACAGCATTTCTCCTGTGCTAACCTACTAGAAACACTGCTAAGCAACACACTAGCATTGAAACGGCATGTTCTGCACGGGCGAAAAAAAGTGTGCTGTGCTGTTAGCTTTTCACCAAAAGAAATCCTACTTTACCTTGATGGTCAATGTGAGTTTGCAGTCTGTATGCTACGCAACAAGAGTGTGTACAATATAATGACAAGAAATGTCTTTCTGTTGAGTTATCAAGACCATACGACGTGCCCAGTGAAGCCCAGTTTATGAAACAGATGACTCATATGAGCCATATATTTTCAGCGAATCAAACTATACACCGTGACAAATGCAGCCTTATTCCCAAAACAATCCGAGATTCGTATGGACCAGACCCCACCGTTCGGCACAAATGTGATTCGCAGATTAATTTGCCAGTTTATACGTTCAAGAAATTTTAAACCACTGAGGTTGATTCCTCTTTCACGTCTCAGCATGTAAGATACATACACATAAAATTGTCAGAAACCCTTCAAAGCATTGTCATTCTCTGAGCTTTAAGTAGTTTTTTTCTTGTTTCTTGCTTATCCGAAAAATCATCCGATCTGTGTCTCAAAAACCACAATATGATGCGTTTGAACCACTATATAACTTATAGAAACTGGGCATCTGATGACCCCATTAAGAATTCCACAAACAAAATGATCTGGTTCTTTTTAATGAATCATTGCCCGATTTCTGAAACAAGTAACTCTTAAGATCCATTTTTTTAAGTGAATCAGCTCTCTGATTCTCTAATCAATCAACCTGAAACACTGCTCTGTACAGCATTAGCAAAAAGAGACTGTATTTCATATGAAATTCCTTGAAAATATGAAATGCTTTTATTATAGCCTAATGGAAATTGGCCTTCCCGAATGAATTGGAATTGGAATAAAAGTGAATTGTTTCAAGAGCTTATGAATCCAACTGATTCTGACCCCTATTAGATAGCTCTGCCTCCTATTTTTTCTGAAGAAAATTGGACATGCTAAATGATAAATGCTAATAAGTGTAGTGAAATATGTTTCCCCAGTGGCTCTCATGAACTAAACCACACAAACATCTAGCAGAGTTGTGATGAAGTGGCGAGATGCATCATTTATAGAGCTAAGAAAATAGTGCAAGCGTGCTGCTGAGAATCATCACATAACTTTTTGGAGTGCTGCTCATGGCCTTCTGCACACTTCCACTTGTGGACTGAAATGTAATTTTTGAATGAAAGCCTCTCACTTCAGGGTTTGCCATCTGCCCTGGTTTATCCATCCCACAACACTGCTCCATTGAAGTGACAGCTTCTACCATCTGCATTTCCCCCATAGCCCCCTTCTGGGGGATAAAGACACCTTGAACTTCACTGAACCTTAATCTAGCATAGGAAGACAAGATTCATGGGGTTTTGGTGCATTAATGCTTTGCGACATTCAAAAGCTAGCAAGCCGACCAGCTGAAGTTATCAGATAGGATATAAGGTTGTTTTTGCACCATCATCAAGTTCTGCATCACAGGAAATAATAAATGAGATGATATTAGATGATGATGATATTTCAAAGTCTTTCAACACTTTGAAACGTGAGCCGAATGAATTTAAGTGTAAAACACAACACAAAGCCATGCTTATATATTAGTCACACCTAATAATGAACAGTGAAAGGGCCAAAACTTCAAAGTAGTACAGTTGGAATTAATGCTGCTTTATGGAAAATATCAGGCTTTACTTCTCACATCTTTGCATTGCCAAAGATGACGTGCGTCAGAACCCATACAGGCAAAGTTTCATTAATTGTCATTCATTTCTAAAACCCACGCTCATTAACGTGCTGCAAAGACATGAAATGCTCCCTGCGTTTCTAAGCCATGTGTGCCATGTTCAAGATAAGCTCAATGTAGGACTGGGTAAAACGGACTCACTGAACCAGGCTGGCTCGGATCTGGTTGTACAGAAGGTGCTGGTTTTTCAGAGCACTTGGCTTCCCTGCGGCGACCCTTTGTCTTGATCTGACTCATAGGAGGTCATGTGACCTGTCTCCAGTTATTCTATTGTGGGAGTAAAACAGCCAGAAGCCCATTTAGACCTCCAGAAAGTGAAAGGCATGGCAGCAAAGTCTAATGACCTGATGGGCCACCTGAGATTTGCCTCTCTAATCACACAATGAGATCTGCAGCAGCGCTCCTGCAAATCCAGTTCAGCTCCACATTATAGACAGCTCGTTTCCTGAGGTGAGTGCAGGAGGCAGCAGAGTCAGTACCGATATAGTAAGTAAAAGTTAACTTCTAAAAATTCAACTATTTCCAACATTTGGACATTTAACATCCTGTTGATCCACTTGTGTCTTCTTACCTTTCTTTAACTTTAATGCGTAATTTATTTTATTTTATTTTTTGCTCTATTATGGTACTTCAGGATTAAAAAAAAAAAAACTATTTCTAATTCTATTTCTAAATATTTCATGCGAAAGCTAGTCTCAGAATAGACACTTCTCACAGTTATATGGGCCTGTTATAGTATTGAACACTGCTGACACCTTGTGTTCAGTGAAAAACAGGCCAGTAATAAATCACAAAGGAAAACACTTTTCTAAAGTTGCAGTGCCTGGTATTCTCTAAATAAGAAAATAATTAGGTTTTGTAAAAAAAAAAAAAAAAAAAAAAAAAAAAAAAAAAAAAAAGGGAAAAAAAAATAGAGTTTTTTTTTTTTTTTTTTTTTTAAAAAAAAAAAAAAAAAAAAAAAAAAAAAAAAAAGATAAATGGAGTAAATAGTAATGTTAGTAATAGTAAAATGTTAGTAATAGTAAAGTTTGTAATGTCCTCATTTGTTACTTAAAATCGGTGAATACTTGGCACCAGGGGCGCCGCTAGCAATTTTGGGCCCTATGAAAGAATATGAGGTTGGGCCCCCTACCGCACCAAACATACACTATATTGCCCAAAGTATTGGGAAAACTCAATAAAACTAAAAAAACTCATCGCCAAACACCAATGACTTGTACATATGCGTTCAATCATTTTAGACACTTCCAAAACTGTGGCAACAACGATGGAAATACAATTTTTAAATACATGAATTATGTTTCCATCTTTGCTAGGACTTGGCTTTCTGCAGACCATGTCAAGTTCTTCCACACTGACTGAATCAATCTTTATTATTATTTTTTAACCTTGCCTTATACACAGAGGCATTGTGTTAGAATAGAAAATGGTCCTGTTCAAACCATTGGTATAAAATTAGAAGCACACAATTCCCTAGAATAGCATTATATGCTTTTTTTTTACTAAAAATTAGAAATGACTAAAGTAGTCAAACCTGTTCATTAGAAGGGGGTTTCCCAATACTTTTGGCAATATAGTGAACAAGCCAACCTAGCTATTCAAAATCTTTGTCTGCAATTTAATAATATTGACCTATTACTTTTGCTATTGCTTTTGACCATTAGGTATCAGTAACATAATTCATTCAGAACCTGTTTTATGGACATAGACTTTCTGTACCACACTATTCTGCTGATATGGAATGGGTTTGACTACTTGATCAGTTATATTAATAGAAAAGCTTCACTGGGGCAAACAAAAAAATCCTCAAATAATAAATATGATACCCCATAGCAGCATTTCCAGCAGTACCCAACATTTCTCAATCATGAGCTTACTCAGCTAAATGTGACTATTAGCTTAACAGCTGTATTCCTTGTTTGCTAGCTACCTATGCACATACAGCATGCAATGTTCAAAATGTTCTACATTATGAACCAAAAACCTTTAGCTTGATACACTATAGATAACTCTGACCCTGCCTGTGGAAACCCAGCTAAAGTATTTTTTTTTAAAACAGTGGATGAGTAATTCACTCCTTGATTTGCTTAATAAAAGCCTCCTTTGAGATCGTTCTGACAGACATGTTTATTGTGTATTATTTTCAACGTGTTTATTGCTAAGTTTAGTGTGGCAAACGGTGGCAAAAATAATTAAATAATAATTTGCGTGCAGTGTATCTGGTTGCTATGCGCTTCCTGCTCTATGTAATCAGAGTGTGAATTTGTAGATTTTCTATAGCAAAACTAAAATGTGCGACTGACCAAATCGTCCTGCTACTAATAAAACAGATCTCTGGGGGCCCCAAAAGTGCGTGGGCCCTAGAATCGTCCTAACTTTCCCCCCCTTAGGGGCGCCCCTGCTTGGCACACTGAAAGTTCCCTTTTCTTTCACTAAAATGGTCATTATTTTAACAATGCTAAAACATTAAAGGGCAGGTAATTGGTAAATTATTATAATTTCTAAGGTATTTTATCATATGCATTGAAAAACCATGTAAATATTACATTAATATAGTAAAATAATACAAATAAATAATAAAATACATTTTATAAATAATAAAATAATATTAAAAAAATAATAATAAAAAAGAACAAAAAATTGCACAAAATTATAAAAAAATTATATGATAAGATAAAATATAATACATGTAAAAAATAAATCTTGAAACATTTAGTAACAACATACTGTGTAAATGTACACTACTGTTTAAACATTTTTTTTTTAAAGAAATTAATACTTTTATTCAGGAAGGATGCATTGAATTTATCAAAAATGACAGTAAAGACGTTTATAATGTTACAAATTATTTCTATTTCACATAAATGCTGTTCTTTTGAACTTTTCTATTCATCAAATTATCCGGAAAAAAAAAAGATTTTGAAAATGAAAAAAAATGTATCACGGTTTCCACAAAAATATTAAGCAGCACAGCTGTTTAAAACATCAATAATTACAATAATAAATGTTTCTAGAGCAGCAAATCATCATATTACATTGCTGAAAGATCATGTGACACTGAAGACTGGAGTAATGATGCTGAAAATTCAGCTTGGCATCACAGGAATATCTACATTACAGTATCAATTATATTTATTTAAAATTGTAATAATATTTCACAATATTACTATTTTACTGTATTTTTGATTAAATAAATGCAGCGTTGGTGATCATAAGACACTTTTCAAAAGCATAAAAAAAAAATCGTACAAACCCCAAACTTTTGAATGGTTTCGTTCAATTTAACAAAACACTACATGCGCAAAGTTAGCTGATCATTATATTAATGCAACATATTTTTTTTTCAGTGAATTGACCCAAAAATGTTTGCTTGACACAAATTCTAACATGAAGCTTTTATTTTTTTTTCAACATTACACCGTTACATAAAAACGGTGATGAAACACAGAACTATGAACAGACACATAATCGTTGGACAGTCTCCATTGGAAGTGTGCGATGCATGATTTGATAACCCCTATGCCATTTTAAAAGACACCGCAATGGAGACCAACTACTAAAGGCAGTAAAAACACAAGTATGCTTCGACAAGAAAATGGAGTGGCTTTGTGTGGAACAAAGATCTTCTAGTGTTGTTCAGTAATTACAAGCAACCTACTGTATGAAGCACCAACAGTGTACGAGAACCCAAAGCCAGAGCTTACCAGCAAGCCTGAGCTTACATATTTCATATTAGTCCACAATATAACACAAATAGAAGTTGTATATCGCAGTGCTTTTATCGGTAAACGGAATAAATTATGTAAACTTAGTGTCCATGCATTTTTAATGAATGATGATGAACATTTAATGTTAGAAATGTTCATCTAGTGATTGTTAAAGCTGAACTTTTACATATCGACACCAAGAATAAATAAAGTGCCATATGTGTTTGGGATACAATAAATTAAGTTTATAGTGGAATATTAGTGAACAGAAAAAGAAAAAAAAAGTGATGTTTACGATTAAAACTTTGTGTAAATATATAGGCCTATTATTATAAACATCTCTGGGCACTTTAAGAATTTGAAATCGATGTAAGGCGTAAAGAAACGGCTGGAGCAGTTTATGAAATTGATATTCCATCACTAATAATCCGACTTTTGAGATATGGAGCGACTGTAGGGATGCGCGAGTCTTCATTCTGTCTTTATTATATACACCAGAGACGTACAGAGACTGCTGTACATGTGAGTGAAATAACATCTGGTGATGTGGTGTCATCTTCCTTGCTTATCTTCAAATGTCTGCATAGCATCCGTATTAGATTAGAGTGGATATTACTGGCGTCTCTGGAGGGCAAAGGGTTCAGTGTCCAAGTCCAAATGTCCAAATGTTAGAAAAGGGACACTTTCTTCTTCAGGTCGTTCCGTTTCCATAGTGACAGACGATCAAATTCTGTGATGGACATTCCGAATAAGCTCTGGAATTCCTCTGGAGACAGATGACGCTTTAAAAACACAAAAATCACCACAATCGCTCAGTTTATATGTGCGGTCTGAGACGGGAAAACATCTCCAACTTAACTTCAGCAAATAGTGCAATCAATATTTAATTACGTTACAATATTATTTACAGCATTTAATAGTAGTATCGTATGTATGGCATAGTATCACCATGTCAATAAAATATTTAAACATAAAATAATAAAATATTATTTAGTTTATTAAAATTTTGTTACTTTATTTATTTAGTTTATTAAATGTATTTATTTGTTTGTGGTAGGAATGTTTGGGAAAATGCAATAATAAAATAATAATAATAATAATACTAATGAACTATTTGAAAATATTAGAATTAATAAATAATGTTTTACAAAAATGTATTTATGCATTTGTGGTAGGAGTGTTTGGAAAACAATACAAATAAATAATAAAATTAATACATTTTTAATAAATGATGTTGTTGTTGTTATTATTTTCCCTCAAACATGCAATCATAAATAAATAAATAAATCTGTTTATACAGTATGTTCAGTTACTTTATCCAATAATAATAATAATAATAATAATAATAATAATAATAATAATTTACGATTTGTGTTAGGAGTGTTTGAAAATGTAAAAAAACATTAAGAAATATTTATTTTAATTTTTTATTAAAAATATGAAAATGTATTCGATGTTTTCATAAATTAAATATATATTTTCAATAAATTGTATTATTATTATTATCCCTCAAACACACAATCACAAATAAATAAATAAATAATGTTCAGTTACTATATCCAATAATAATAATAATAATAATAATAGTTATTATTATTGTTGTTAATAATAATAATATTATTATTAGTTTGTTTTCCAAATGTTTGTGTTTACCACAAATAAAAAATAAATAAATACACATTTTGTAATTATTATTATTATAATTTTTTATTATAATAATTTTGAATTATAATAATTTTATAAGATTTATTATTCATATGTTATTAATAAAATAATAATATATATACTTATTTTGCTAATTCTTTTGAGCATATAATGGCAAAGAAACTCAAGGACATTAAACTGTTACATTAACTTTTTTTTTTTTTAACCAAGGTTAACCAGTGCTTATTTGTGACTTGCCTCTAATCTGGTCCTGTCAACACCTGGAGGAAGTTTACTGCGCCCTCTGTGGGTTACAACCAGCATTTCATATGGATATATCTGAAGGGAGATGAGATTTCATTACATTTTGGTAACATCTTATGCGGTACTCGTCCTTTTTGATTGACTGGACACAGTAAACAGGCCGTCACATATTAGCAGCTTGCTCACGGGAGAATGTTCACTACACAAACAACCTCCAAAGTTTTCACTTCGATATTGTCTTCATGGATGGCGTCATAGTGAATTCTGCATTCAATGGAAGCGAGGCTTAGAAGCAACATGGATGTGAGTGAATGTATGGCATGGGGTTAGAAGAGAGAAGCAGAACATGAAAACTTTGGAGGGTCTCGTAAGATCTGCCTCACCTTCTGTTCCAGAATACTAGGAAGAGAGCTTCCTCTGTCCATTCTCCCACTCTGTGAATCGCCATTCTATGAAGACGCCACCCCAGCCCCGAAAAATGCCCCCCGGGACAAAGGAGATCAATATGAGACATATGAGTACATTTACATCCATAATAATGAATCAGCCTCATTCTATTATTAAGTGTGCAAACAGTGTGTGGAGATCAAATGAGTCTGAAGCCATGAAAGAGTGTAGGCTAATGTCAGGGTAAAGATACATTAGTAGCAGGAAATGCCAGAGCCTATTAGAAAACCCAACAGCCATGCTTGTGAGATCTTCTTACCTGTACACCTGAGGAACATAGAAAGAAAAATCAGAAAAATACAGTGACATTAAACTAATATTTTCCTCATATTTGTGGATTCTCACTCAAATTGTGTTATGCTGATAATAGAATTTATAGCAGAAACATATAAATAATGAGTATTTTAATACACTGCTTATGTATACTACATTTTTGACCATACCTGTTTTTGCTTTTCCATTGTCTGTGGAGGTGAAGTCTGCAGACCGCAGCTACACGCATGAAGAGAAACACACATCAGAGACTCAAAAGAGCTACAGGAACATCTTAAACATCAGCCCATCTTTAAAAGGGGCATTTAAAAATCAACCTTGATATTCTGAAATATAAAAGTGTATGTAGTTAGTATGTAAACAAACATAATCTCAGAATAAAAAATGGTTTGTTTCCAAATCTGTACTATAATGACACCCAAACTTAAAACAGATTATGTGGCTACCAATATTTATACCATCCCAACTATACTGGATGTGACAGCAAGCCCACATTTTTAGCAAGTGTGAAGAAGTTAACCAATCAAAACAGTATTTACATATTCAAATTTACACACACTCTTAAAGGTATAGAAGCAAAAAAAAAAAAAAAAGCGTTTACATCTAAGGGTCAGAGAGATGTGAAAAACGCTAATAATATTTAATATTACAAATAAAAATGTATGATATGAATCAGTAAATAAAAGACTACATGCTATTTACTACAATTAATATGATGCATTTTCATATTTAATATTACAGTGAATAACGTTAATAATTAATATTTGTAATGGTCATTTTTAATATAGCAAAGAAAAATATTTATCCGTAAAGAAAAATGAAATGTATTTATTAAAATAATGAATGCTAATAAGTAATATTATGAATTAATATTCATATTTAATAAAACATTCATATTACAAAAAAAAATTATGATACAGATCAGAATATTTTAATTGCAGTTAATAATGTTAATTGTTATTATTATTAAATGTACATATTTAATATTAAAATAATATTATTTAGTAAAGATAGAATACATTTGTTAATTTGTCATTTTATTACCATTAATAATTGTAATAATATGATTAATTTTCATATATAATGAATATTTATGAATTTTTGATTTTAAAGTGCCCCTATTATGCCATTTCCAATATTGCCTTTCAATAATTCCCGCCTATGTTCTACACTGGCCGGCCGAGAACAACTTGACCCCGCCCACAAACACGTCAATCTACTGCTTCTCTAATCTCGGGGAGTTCAACACGGGATTCACAAAATGCTTGCTGCTGAAAGATGGATCAGTATCCTGTTTATTTGGACCAGCTACTCAACTGAATCACAACCTGTAAGTATGATAAATAATAGATGTTTATATTTTCTATAGAGCGTTTAAAATACAGAACTACTGAAATAGGCGTATCGTTTCCCAGGATCAATTTGCCCAAGTTGGACTGTATCTGAAAAACAAACAGCCCAGTCATGATTAGCGAGCTCCATTAATGTTGTGCGTGCGTATCCTTCCAGCACTGCCTTCAAACAAAACACTTCATCCTCTAGCCATAGAGAAATATTCCCAGCGCAGCGGCTGATTTATGTAGACAGTATTGATGTATCGATGTCCTGCTTTCACCTTCTGAAGTTCCTGTTCCTGGAGTCTCTTTGCATCTTCTGTCAGGTCCTCAAACTCATCGTCCTCGATTGGCTTTCCCTGCTCGGCTGCCTTCTTCTTCCACTCAATCTCTGTGAGTGAGTGAATTTACATTCATATTTAAAGGGGTCATATGATGCGATTTCAATTGTTCCTTTCTCTTTGGAGTTTTACAAGCTCTTGGTGCATAAAGAAGATCTGTAAAGTTGCAAAAACTGAAGTCTCAAATTCAAAGAGATATTCTTTATAAAAGTTAAGAGTCAGCCACACCTACCTAAAACGGCTCGTTCTA